AAGATATGTACCTTATTCCTTTGGGTGCCGCAGATAAAATTCCACACCCTCTTGTGCCTTTTGATGGACCTGGTAGGTATATATTTTAATAATAGAGTATGAATAAAATAAAGTGGGATGTGAGACCAGAGTGAAAAAACAGACTCTGTTTTCTTTCTTGGGATTCAGCCCTCTAGAGCTGACTTGATAGGGAAAGGCACCCACCTAAGAGGCTATAATAGTAAGCTAGATGCAAAAATGTACCCTTTGTTGTAATGTAATAGTTGAAAATGACTATTGATGTTTTTTATTGTATACAGGGCTTGAACTGCATAGACCCAATCTGTTGTTGGGCTTAATTATTCGTCAAAAACTGAAGCGGCAACATAGTGCTAGTGTTAGCACTAGTCATACAGCTGAGACTTCTGAAAGCGTACCAATGGCATTGCCACCTGATAAAAAAAGTAAAATGGAAGTTTCCACAGAAGAAACACCAGAGGAAGAAAATGACTTTTTTAATTCTTTTACAACTGTATTACACAAGCAGAGAAATAAGCCTCAGCAGACTCTTCAGGAAGACCTTCCATCAGCGATTGAACCTTTAGTGGAAGTCACCAAACAGGAGCCCCCAAAACCTTTAAGATTTCTTCCTGGGGTATTGATTGGCTGGGAAAATCAGCCTTCTACTCTGGAATTAGCAAATAAACCTCTTCCTGTGGATGATATACTTCAGAGCCTTTTGGGCACTACTGGTCAGGTATATGAACAGACTCAATCAGTGATAGAACAAAACACTCTTAAAGAAATTCCTTTCCTAAATGAGCAAGCTGACCCCAAAGCAGAGAAAATAGATAAAGTGGAAGTAACTGATGGTGAAGCCCAGGAGGTAAAGGTTAAAGTAGATGATCTTTCTGAGTCTACAGGTAATTCAGTAGTAGGAGGAGAAGAAACGTCAGTAATGGGGTCTTCTTCCATTTCTCCTGGACCTTTGACAAGTCTAAGCCTCAGAGGTAAACCACCAGATGTTTCTACAGAGGCATTCTTAACGAATTTATCAATTCAGTCAAAACAGGAAGAAACTGTGGAGAATAAAGAGAGAACGTTAAAAAGGCAGCTGCTGCAAGATCAAGAGAATAATTTGCAAGATAATCGGACTTCAAATACTAGTTCTCCATGCAGGTCTAATGTAGGAAAAGGAAACATAGATAGTAATGTCAGTTGCAGTGAAAACCTTGTTGCTAATACAACAAGGTCCCCACAGTTTATCAACTTGAAACGGGATCCTAGACAAGCAGCAGGACGAAGTCAGCAGATAACTGCTTCAGAAAACAAAGATGGAGATAATTGCCGGAATGGAGAAAAAAACACCGTGCCTGCTCTGTCACACCAGGAGCACTTAACAGAACAAATCAATGTAGAGGAAAAGTCTTCTGTAGAGAAAAACTCATGTGTTCAGCAGGGTGATAATTCAGGGGCTGCACAAAACTCACCATCAGTAGAAAACATTCACACTTCTCAAACAGAACAAGCAAAACCTTTACAGGAGGATATTTTAATGCAAAATATCGAAACTGTGCATCCGTTTCGAAGAGGATCGACAGTGACGTCTCATTTTGAAGGTGGAAACACATGTCAATCAGAATTTCCTTCTAAAAGCATCAACTTTACTTCCAGAAGCACCAGCCCCAGAACAAGTGCAAACTTTTCACCCATGAGGCCACAGCAGCCCAACCTTCAGCATCTCAAGTCTAGCCCCCCTGGATTTCCATTTCCAGGACCTCCTAATTTTCCCCCACAAAGCATGTTTGGATTTCCACCGCATTTGCCACCCCCTTTACTTCCCCCTCCAGGCTTTGGCTTTGCTCAAAATCCCATGGTTCCCTGGCCACCTGTTGTTCACCTGCCAGGCCAGCCACAGCGTATGATGGGTCCCCTTTCACAAGCATCAAGGTACATAGGCCCACAAAATTTTTACCAGGTTAAAGACATTCGAAGACCAGAAAGGCGCCATAGTGACCCTTGGGGTAGGCAAGACCAACAGCAACTGGATAGGCCATTTAACAGGGGTAAAGGGGATCGACAGAGATTTTATAGTGATTCACATCATTTGAAAAGAGAGCGACATGAAAAAGAATGGGAGCAAGAGTCTGAAAGGCATAGACGCAGAGACAGAGCCCAAGACAAGGACAGAGACAGAAAAAGGGAGGAAGGGCACAAAGATAAAGAGAGGGCACGGTTATCACATGGTGATCGAGGAGCAGATGGAAAAGCAAGCCGGGATAGTAGGAATGTAGACAAGAAACCAGATAAACCTAAAAGTGAAGACCATGAAAAGGACAAAGAACGAGAGAAAAGTAAACATAGAGAAGGAGAAAAGGACAGAGATAGGTACCACAAAGATAGGGACCACACTGACAGAGCTAAAAGCAAAAGGTAAAATTTGCAGGCTGCTTCAAGATTACATTTAAATAACTTAAATGTTGTATCTTAAAAACTTTGATTGCCTGCTAGGATTGTGCCATCTTTTAAATTTTTTAATATTGGTGGTTTGCAGAACAATAAAATCTGTGTGTTGGTGCAGAGTGCTCTCTGTACCAGTGCTCGTCATCCCTTCTTCATACCAACTGTCCCTAGTTCTAGGAATTTAATATTTTTAAAAATTTTACATTGCTGTATATTCAAAGATTTGTTTTATTAATATGCAATAAAGGCTTAGAAATTTTAGTTTTATTCCTTACTTGGTAAATATGGTTAACTATGGAATATATTTACTGCCTCTAGTGAATGTCCTTTATATAATGACTAATTTGAGAGTAATGTGTGCTATGTAAGTTTGTTTAAATTGCACTGTTTTTAAAGAAACTGTAGAGGAGAAGCAGAAAGCCAAGCAACTTCATAATCAGATTATATTAATCATTTAGTTGAGCAGTTTTTGACCAAGAATCAGATGCCCAAGGAGTACATTTATTGCTTTAATCTGCACTCATTGAAGGCATTTATTACCATTACTACAACTTTGTGGTAGGCCATTTTTTCCTTTTCATTTTTGGCTCTTTGGAAACTTGAATACTTAAGCTTGTACATGATCTTGTGTTTTGCTATCCTTTTTACTGTAAAATGTAAATATTTTAAGGGATATTTTGATTCTAAATATGATAAAAGAATTTCTCACCTATTTTGTGTGTGTGATTTGAAATTCAGTAGTAAGAGCATTCTTTAAAGCTTTAATTATCGTCAGATACTAAACCCTTACTCCACCAAGAACATACAGGCAATAGCTCTCTATGTCAGGCAATTGATGAGGGAAAAAAACGATTTCTGTACCGTAGATCACAGGCAAATCATGTAGTTCTAAAGAAACTATGAATTGAGAACTAATGAAAAACTATTGTAGCCGTAGCTCACTTTATAGGTATGTTTCCGAAAACTTGTATACCATCAAAATTTGGTACACTGACTAATCGTTACAGAACTTTTATTTTAGAGAAACATGTTGTGAATGTCTTTGCAAAATGTGTAATGAACTCTAATTTGGTGGGGGGGGATAACTAGAGTTTTGTATGCTAGTACTTCCTGAAGTAGAAAACACCTGGAGGCTATTGTTAATCCAAATTTAAATTTACTTGCACCCTAAATTACCTACTGTATTGATTTCTATAATTTAAACCAATAGCTACCAAAAGATACTAGCACATGAGACCAAAAAAGAAAAAGCATTATTTTTGCTCATCTATATTAATGAAGAAAAATATAAATGACTTCACAAAATTACAAAGTTCATTTTCTTAAAAAGTATAAAGATTACAGTTAAAAATAGGTTTTGAAAATGAGTCAGCTTTGCTGTTCTCACTGGAGAGCAAGGGAGCTGAAATTCAAAACCAAACATTTTGTCTAATTTGCAATAACTTGCAACCCTTTTTTTGTCATCCTTATTCTCCAAAGTTAATGATCATAAAAATTCTGAAACAGAGGACTTGTATTTAAATAAAGTTTGTTTAATTTTGGTCTACTTTTCTTTTGGAAGTTAACTTGTTAGAAAACTAGTCAGTTTGCAAACAAAACCTAAGGTTGGTCATCTTCATCTTATGAATAAANAAAAAAAAAAAAAAAAAAAAAAAAAAAAAAAAAAAAACCACACAAAAGCAAAAAAAATAAAACAAAACCAAAACCCCCCCAAGCCAAAAAAATAGCTTTTTTATTTCAAATATGTATGTTCATAAGTCTGCTTTTCTTGATTTATCTGGTAGGGTTGGTGGGGTTGGGGGAGTTGAGTAGACACTGGATTTTTTTTTTTTTATTTTGCTAAGGTAAAAATGGGTTAACCAATGGAAGAAAGCCTTTAAGTTAGTTTTTGATTACTTGTTAGCCTGTAGTTTCTAGTTTCGTGTGTGTGTGTATGCACTATATATATAGTGATGCTTTTATATCTCACTGGAGCTTGGTCTCATAGAGGTTTCTATTAGTAGTGGCCATCTCCTGGGATTACAGGGCTCCTAAGTGTTAAAACCAGGTCTCTTAACCCCTGGTTGACTGAAATATTGTGGTGAGTAGGGCAGGTATAGGCATATCAGTGAGATTTTTAACTTGTGAGGAAAGGGAAATAAACGTTTTCAGTGAGTAGTAGATCGAAAACTGTTCTCAGTCTTTTTAAAAGTCTCACTTAAAACCAGCCTTAACACAGATGTGAGTTAAATGAGGTTCTCCTGCCTTAAGGAAAACTTAATCTTCAAAAAGTTTGATGCTTTTTAAAATCTCGAACTATCTTCAGTTTCTACATACCTCTATTAAGTAAAATGTACCATGTTGTCTCCGTACCTAAAAAGTCCACCTCTTGTCATCCTTGTGGCAGTAAGAAAGCCTCTGTGAATCCTCTATATGTCAGACCTTGTGTAGAGCACTTTATATAAACCTTCAGCCTGCAAGGTGAAGACTTCCCTCAGAGGTCTCTTGTGGAAACTTAAGGAAAAAAAAGAAAAAAAAGTACTCAAGGTTAGACATCAGAACTGGAATTTAGCTCAGTTCTACTGTTCTTCAAAGTCTGCATGCCAGTTGTGTGAGAATTGAGAACAGGAGGTAGGGACAAAAGCCTGATTACCATATATGCCTTTTATAGCCTTTTTCCTCTCTATTCCACCGATCCGTCTGACACCCTTTACGGAATAACCCAAAGTGAGCAAGAAAACAAAAAACCTCTGGTTCCTTTGTATAGATTTGTAAAGTTAATCTGCGTTTCAAATCCTAATTCTCAGGTCCTCTTCTATTTTCTGTTGCTGCTGTGACAAATTATTAAAAACTTAGTGGCTTCACACCACACAATTTATTATCGTACATTTCTGTAGATCAAAAGTCTGATGCAGATCTCCATAGGTTGAGATCAAGGTGTTGGTTCCTTTTCTGGAGGCCTTAGGGGAAAATCCATTCCCCTTGCCTTTTCCAGCTTCTAGAGGTCACTCACTTTCCTTGTCTCAATGTCCAATTCAAAGCCAACAACATGGGGCTGAGTCTCCTGTTAACCACCTCTGATCCTTCTGATTTCCTCATCCACTTTTAATGGGCCCTTGTGATTACACTGGCCCCACCCAGGTAATCCAGGATAACCTTCCCATTTTAAGGTCACTGATGAGGAACCTAAGTTCCATTTGAGACCTCAATTCCCTTTTGCCATATAATCTATTTACAGGTTGCAGGGATTTGGATGTAGACAACTTTCAGGGACCTTTCTACTTACTACAATTCTTGACTTGCTAATTGTAGCTTATTTGTGGGTGAACTATATTTTTGGAGTTAGAACACATCTAGGGATATAGTAAATATGCTTAAAAGTTAAGAAAAATACCAACAATAGAGAAGGACATGGAGTGACAGTTAAACCACTGGGCTATATAAAACTAGGTGACTGCTAAATTTATAATCAGATGTTCTTAGTTTTTAATAGCTATGTTTTTAAAGAAGGATATGAATCAAGTTTAAGTGCATTATGAGAGCTTGCTAATGAACCAGATCTTATTAAAGCAAATCGTTTACTTAATTTTAACATTTAAATGTACCACTTGCACTATTCCAATCTCCTTAGATCCCTTTAAAACACTGGTCAAGTTACCACTTACTAATGACTACAAAGGGCAATATAGAGAGTCCACTATTGACTTTGGTCTCCCAAGGCAAATCTTGAATAGGATTGGTTACTACTTTTGATAAGGTGTCAACCCTGATTCTTTGGTTCCTATTTCATAAAGAATTTCAGTAATTCATGTATAGAGCAAGAAATTCTAGGTTAAGAGCTAGAAAATTCTTGAAAACATGAGTCTATAGATGGAGAAGAGTCTTTGGGGGAAACCAAAGTACTTAAAGGCAGTGAATTCAATAAACTACCAATATTCCTAAATACCTTTACTTTTCTGTGAGGTAATCCAGTGTGTGTATGGATACATATGCCTAAGCTGTACTTTAAAATTATTCCTTATTTTAAAAGAGAATACTTCCCTTCCCTATCCCCATTTTTTTTGTAGCAACTTTGTTGAATCTTTTAAAAGATAAACATTGCCTTACTTTTTTATTTAAATAAAGTTAACATAGAGTGTAATTGTTTCAGGAGTAGAATTTAGTGATTCATCACTTACAGATAACAAACGCCCAGTGCTCATCCCAACAAGTGCTCTTCTTAATGCCCATCACCTATTTAGCCCATCCCTGTGCCCAACCTCCTCTCCAGCAACCGTTAGTTTGTTCTCTATTTAAGTGTCTTATGGTTTGCCTGTTTTTATCTTATTTTTCCTTCCCTTCTCCTATGTTCATCTATTGTATTTCTTAAATTTTACATATGAAATCATAAATTTGTCTTTCATGATTTCACTTAGCATAATACCTCTGGGTCCATCCACATTGTTTGCAAATGGCAAGATTTCATTCTTTTTGATAGCTGAGTAATATTCCATTGTGTATGTGTTCATTCATCAATGGATGGACATTTTGGCTATTGATAGTGCTGCTATAAACACTGGGGTGCATGTCCTCCTTTGAATCAGTGTTTTTGTATCCTTGGGATAAATATGTAGTAGTGCAATTGCTGAATTTCTAATAGGGTAGTTCTGTTTTTAATTTTTTTAGGATCCTCCACACTTTTCCAGAGTGGCTGCACCAGTTTGCATTCTCATCAACAGTGCAAAAGTGTTCCCTTTTCTCCTCAACCTTGTCTGCATCCTCTGTTTCTTGTGTTGTTGATTTTAGCCATTCTGACAGGTGTGAGGCATTCACCTTACTTTAAAACATGTTTACATTCAACATTTTGTGTTTCAGAAGCATTGTGATGCTTAAAGTTATCTTAAAGGGTTTCTATATCAACTATTTTTATTTTGTGCTGGAGAAACATAGGAAATCTTCAACACCATCATCCCAAGGATAGCAAAAATGTTGATACTTTACCACATGAAATTAAAATTTTTATTAATGTTTTATTCATTTTTGAGGGAGCGGGAAGAGGTGAGAGGCAGAGAGTGAGGGAGACACAGAATCTGAAGCAGGCTCCAGCTCTAAGCTGTCAGCACAGAGCTTGACATGGGTCTTGAACCCACAAACTGGGGTCATGACCTGCGTTGAAGTCTGATGCTTAACTGACTGAGCCACCCAGTTGCTCCCATGACATGAAATTTTAGATTTTACAGTAAAAATGTTTTCACTAAGTCATTTTAATTTATAGGAAATTGCTAGGTACCAGTTTTAAAATTCTTATTTTGTGCCTATTCTATGTGGCACAAGATTCTTGGAATTCATTGGTGAGCAGTACCATTCGCCTCCAGTCTTGGAGCTTGCATTGTAGTGTAGAAGTGTAGAAGTAAAGTTGCTATGAGAAGCAACTTTAACGCAGTAATTCTCAAACTCGCTGGTTTCAGGACCCTTTTACTCCCTAAAAAATTATTGAGAGCCCTAAATATGGGTTATATCACTTAGCATATTAGAAATTAAAATGCTATAATTTAAAGATAATCGATAACTTATTTAACAATAACCCTATTATGTTAATATAGCACTTGTGTGAAAAATAACTTACACTAAATTTGGGAAGAATGTCGTGGTTTTCATTTTTGTACATCTCCAATGTCTGACTTAAACCATTGGATTCCCTTACCTGCCTCAGCATTCAGTGTTTTGCAGTATGTCATCTCATGTGAAATATATGAAGAAAACCTGGCTTCACATGGAATTGTCGTTGAGGAAGGAAGTACTCTGGATCCCCAGAAGATTTATGGGCTCTCAGAGGTACTGGTTTTACATTTCAGGAAGGGCTGCTTTAAAGATAGGCACTTTGTATCGTGAGACAACATGTGGCCTGTGATGAGGGTGTGGTTCATTGGAGCTTTGGTAACCTTTGAGAACAGCTTTCTTAACTTTATACATAAAATATATGTCTTTAAAGTGAGATCTAATTAACAGCCATCAAAACGATTTTTTTTAAAGAGCAGTTATCCTTATGATTTTACTATCACCAAAGTTAGATGAAATGGTATGGGCCAAAACAAATTTAGGTCTCAGTTTTTTCAGTAAATATTGGAGTTTTTTTACATGGTTTCTGTTAAACACACACACACACACACACACACACACAACCTTGGGATCAGTGTATAGACATTTTGTAGTTCTATCTTACATTATATTTTGCTCACACACTTTTTCTAATGTTAATAATATACCTGAGGGTAGTTTGTGTCCCATTGAATGGTGCCAAGGTTCTTAACTTTAGTTCTGGAGCCCTCCATCTATAGTCTTCTGATTGCAGTGGTGTGACAAAAACACCTGCCCCCTCCCCCCAAAAAATTGTTTTAATTCAAATGATAAATTGCTCACCTAGTTTCTTTGTATAGACTGGAACCTGTGCAAGCAGATTTTGCTTAATAACAAAGACAAGTAACTACGCACCTGTTCCTTTATTTGTAAACCATTTTCTCCATTTAACAGATAATTAACAGATATTTTTCCTTTCAAACTTCACATGTTGCTTATTAACAAGATAGTTTACTTCTCTCCAGGTATAATCATACATATTAGTGTATTGTTTCAGTCGTGTTGTCAGTTACTTTCTTGGTGGCCAAATTGTCATAAATATCACACTCTAAAAGTGCTAAATAGCAGCAATAACTACTTCCCAATATGCAATGGTGGAGTGGGGTGAGGAGAGAAAATGCTATTTACAATTAATATCAATAACTGGTGATTGGGTAAAATGAACTTTCTCATGTTAATACTTTTGATGGTATAGGTATGATCAGTACAGTAATTTTTCAATGGCATTATTTAGAGCCATTTATTCCCAATTTTGAGATCTGTAGACTTGAAAATTTAGGTGTAAATGAAGTTTGATTTTTAAATTTAATGTTACATAAGTACATGGTTTAAAAAGCCAAGTGATTCTATAAGGTTTGTAAACAAACCCAGCAATATTTGTACTACTCTTCTCTCCAGAGGATTCTTTTAGATCTTAGCATATGTACCTTCATATTTGTGACATGTATGCTTTAAAAAGGTTGCAAAAATTGTAGTATCTATTAATGTCTTACTGTGGGATTTAAGTGTTTAACCCTCACCAGCCAATGCCTTTCCTCCACCTTTCGCCTTCCCACATTCATGCAATATCTTTTGGCATAAGTCCATATTTAAATTTCATATTACTGCAATCACTTGAGCCATGCAATAGAATATGGTTCTGTAGTTTTTTTTCTTATATAATTTTTATTTTTTCCTTTGGTTAATAACTTGCTTTTTAATTTTATTTTTCTTTATCATTTATCCCACCTTAATTTTATTTAAAAGCAATTCACAGATGAATAAACACTAACTGAACTAATGGAGCGAAAACTTGGGAATCAACATATTTATAGATATTAGATGTAGGAAAAACAACCAAAATTGTTTCTTTAGCTGTATTTTATAAGCTTATAAAAAAGATGTATTAGCACTTAGACTATCTTAGTTAATAGTAAATAGTTGATTTCTAGTAAACAATGTCACAGAAGTAGCTATCAAAATACATTTACATATATATTTTGTATATTAAAGTTACCAGTATTAGTTTATATCATTAATTTTGTTCATCTCCATTAAAAACATTGTATCCTTCTGATTTAATTAACTCAATTTTTTTTGAATCCTGAAAAAATACATCTTTAATTTTGCCAACAAAATCTCTTTTAAAAATTTCTCGAGTAACAGTATTTACCTTTCGGCCATATTCAAAGCCCCCTAGATAACTAATGCCATCATAGTTTAAATCAACAAATTTTTTGTGTGGATCAGTATCCTCTAAGAGAATTAGATTGTGATCTAGGTAGGCCTTAATAACAGTCTGATTTTGAATTACACTTATATGGTGCCATTTATTACAGCAGAATGTGCCCTTGCTATAGATCATAATAGGTACAGAGATGCTTTTTCCTAAGTTAACTGCTATTTTCAAGGACTGATTATGGAGACCAATAGCCAGAAAATCATTTTCTTCATTTTGAGCTTTTCCTATCCATACAATTAAGCCTTCTGTTTCAGTAGTACTGAAATTTAAGGATATGGTAGTGAACTGAAGGTTTCTCATTCTGTAATTTGGATCGATGTATTTAATATAAGAGTTACCCATAAATTTTGCAGTTGAAAATGAAGTTTTGTTTTCACAATACTTTCCCACCCAACCCAAAGCACACAAACAATTGTAGGAAAATGATTGATCAGGTATACAAAGAGATTGGTGGAGACAAAGATTATTCGAACAGTGCACAGACTGGTCACATGTACTTCCAGCCCACTGTGGCAAACATCTGCAAGAAAAAGTTGTGCCATTTACTATACATTCACCCCTATTTCGGCACACCTTGTACCCACAGGGGGTCCCATCACAGTCACCTACATTTGCACCGCCTTTTGCTCCTAATTCAGTTAATTTTAACTCTTGATTATTTATAATAACTTCTCGGACACAGCCCTGAAATCCTGCAGGTTCATTTGCTATTGACCTAGGATTTACAAGATTTAAAGATGGCACTCCTCCAATATAGAAGTCAGTATTTGTGTCCAGGGAGCTCATTTTTGCATTGGCTTTTTCTGTTACATTTATCCCATCCAGATCCAGGTAGCCTTCTGCACCAACTCTTCCTGCTTTAATCACATGCCAAGTACTTCCATTAATAGTTACTTTTTGGAGAGTTTCTAGAATGATAGTTTGGTCACCAAGGTTGTAGCGAAGCTGAACAGAACCATTTACTAAGGAGATACACAGGAAATCACCTGTTGAGAAAGAAAACCAGTTAATTAGTAAGATGTTACTCCACTAAAAACTCTTGCCCTTTTTGGCCATTTGAGTAAGTTTTGGGGGAAAAAAAGGCAAGTGTTGATCACAGTAACATTAGAGAATTTGATTTCCATTTGCAGATCAAAAATATATGTGCATATAGTCATACACAAATCCTGTATTATTCAGGAATTGGCCACATAAGTTTTTCCTAGTTGTAAATATTTCACATTGAATGAAATGTATTGTGGTACTAAGTTAAAGTGAAGTTTTCCTTTAACGATTTTATATAGTTAAAGGATGAATATGTGAAAAGCTTTTTAAAAGATAGTTTACTCCAAACTGCAGATTCTGTTGTTGTTTTGACAGAGCTTAAGGAAGTAAATAAGAGAATTAAGAAGTTAATACTGGTGTTGTGAAAAAGTTTCAGCCACATCCTTAGCATCAAGTTCTGTTCTCAACTACACAAATCCCTAGTTGAGATCTCTCCAAATTTCATATCTGAGTTTGTGAACTTTCTCCTATACACCTGGCATCTTCCAGTCTTTCCAAACACAGTGAGTCACTGCCTCATCCTCCATCCAGTTCTTCAAACCAAAAATTTATCTGTGATCTCAGATTCTATATATTTTTTTGGTTCCACACATAATCAGTCTATCAAAGACTGGTCTCTAATCAAAGAGATTTATTAACATTCTGGTTCACTGCAAACATCTTGATTCTGCCTGCCTTTGCCATCTTCGTTGGGTTTACTAGCTTTGTTTCTAGCTTAATGTATTTGCTAAAGCCTCCTCACTCTTCCTTCCTAATTGAATTTCTAATCTAAACTGAAACTAAAGTGATCTTTTCATGTGAAGAGATCTGGTCATTTTACTACCCTTTAATGGCATTCACTGTTGTTGAGATAAAAGCCTAAAATCTTTAACATCTAGAGAGGCTCTGCAGGTTACCTAACACCCCCCCCTTTTTTTTTTGTGGTCCAATAAAACTTTATTTATAAAACCAGGTGGCCAACTCAGCTTTTATTTATTTATTTATTTATTTATTTATTTATTTATTTATTTTACAAATAGTTTATTGTCAAATTAGTTTCCACATAACACCCAGTGCTCATCGCCACAAGTGCCCTGCTCCACCCAGCCCCTTTCTCTAGCTTCACCTGGAATGTATTCTCCCTCTTCCTCCACTCTCTTTACTTCAGTGACACTGACCTTGTTCTTGTCTCCGGACCTTTGTGCACATTTGTTTTCTTTTTCTTGGAACACTCCACCCCCTCCCACATCATCTAGGGAACTTCTACTATCCTTCAGGTCTGAGATCAAATGTCACTTCTTCAGAGAAGTGTTCTGTGATTCCACAGAGCTGGTCAGGTTTTTTATTGTTTGATTAATAGCACCACATTTCTCTCCTTCACAGTGTTTAATTTTATAATTACATAGTCCTCTGGGAAGAAATCTGAATAAATATGATCTAACCTGTGTATGAAGTTGCAGTGAGGCATTCAGAAGAAAGGTAAATGCAACTCTATGTGCCAAGAAAAGAATGTGGCTCTTCAATGGTAAAACTGCTTCAAGAGGTGAGCAAAGTGGTTTGTATAACAAATCCTGCAGATATCCTCCTCAAGATTGCATTTTCTCTTCTCCCTAAAATTTCACAACCAATAAAATTTCTTTTCTTACCCAGGGAGATTTCTTGGCACATGCTATTCCTTCGTTTCTCCTTGGGCAGTGCAACACTACCTCACATCTCTCCCCCAGTGTCCTTTCCTTCTGCTCCCCGTTGTGGCCCACCTCAGACCATTATTCTAAGATGGCTGGGAGAGGTAGCAGGTCTAGAGTCCTACACCTAGGATTTCGACTTTAGAAAATTATATGAGCCCATGCAACGTATGATTCTCTTAATCATTTTCCTCATAGAGAATTTTTAGTGACTATAATCTGTCATTACATCCATGATTATTTAACAGCTGCGTCATCGACTAGCTTGCTAGCTTCATGGAACCAGGGTCTGTGTCTGATTTGGCCCAGTGGTTGTCCCTAGCACCTAGCATAGCACCTGGCACATAATTAGATGCAAAACAAACAACTATTGCATTTAGAAATCACCTTTAGGAATGCCTGGGTGGCTTCGTCTGTTAAACATCTACATCTTGATTTCGGCTCAGGTCCTAGTCTCACTGTTGTGAGACAGAGCCCCATGGGGGGTGCTCCGAGCTGAGTGTGGAGCTTGCTTGGGATATTCTCTCTTGCTCTCTCTGCCCCTCCTCCACCTCAAAATAAATAAACTTTAAAAAAACAAAAGTAAAAAATGATTAAGAAAGCTAAAGCTGCAACCTATAGTATCACTGGTCAAATTGCCAACTTGACTAGGCTTTTTAAAAACATTTGTGAAGGTTATAACTATATCAAGATGAATTCAGGCTGTCCATGATCAATTTGTGCTTAACATAATTTTTATGTATCAAAACAGTTTTTCCTAAACACCACAAAGGGTGATTTTTTTTTTTTTTGAGAGAGGGTGCAAGTGAGCCAGGGGCAGAGAGAGAGAAGTGGGACTCACTGGAGGTGGGGCTCAAACTCATGAACTGTGAGATTGTGACCTGAGCCAAAGTCCAATGCTTAACCGACTTGAGCCACCCAGGTGCCCCACATTCACTTTAAGATATTAAATACTTAACAGCAATGGATAAATGGGTGCCAAGGATTTATTTAAAATTTATTTCCAAAATCAAAGATCTAAAATTAACTAGGATACTTTTGAAATTATCATTTTGTTTTTGATTTTATATTATGTGAGATTATTAAAATTATTAACCTCTAAATAGACACAGATACTTTATTAATTGAGAATTTAGTCTTCTACATATAAAAACCCAATTGGTTGTTGACATCTAAATTTGTCATTTTTACATTGTATAGTAAGTGGGCACTTTCTATTGAAAGTTCCTCTTAGCAGAGAATCAGCTAGAAGGCTTAATTAAGGTTTACATTAGACATAACTCTTAAAGAAAGTAAAAAGTACAAGATCATCACTTGTCTTTTATGCAACCTTAAATGTATGAAACATACTTTACCACTATATTACACCAATTGAACACTAATAAGTTTATGCTTTTCATCTGATAAGTACCTTTTGGTTAATCTTAAGTCTGAGAATGTCAAGCTTAGATTTTTAATATTTTACAGTTTTCATGATTTCCTAATAGAAGTGTCAAATGCAGCACCAACCATGACATGAAAGTAATAAATCTATTTTTATCTCTTTTTGTAAAAAGTGTCTAAGAGAAAAGGAAAATCTTGACGTGATTTGAAATACAGTACCATTTAATAACAGATGTAAGAAAATGTGCTCATGCTCTCCTATGTTAACGTGTATGAGCTTTTTATTTTATATACATAAACACAAATATGTATGTAGTGTACTAATTATAAGACTATAGTACAACATTCTTGGCCGATACAGTTCCACATATATCTTGATTTTATGCCCTTATCATACAAAGGTTAAAGTTGAGATTTTTTTATGAGCAACATAACTAAAGCTGATTTTTTTAAAGTTGATTTTGAGAGAAGGAGCGAGAGAGAGAAAGAGAGCATAAGTGGGGGGTGAGGGCAGAGAGAGAGGGAGAAAGAGATTCCCAAGCAGGCTCAAGCTGTCAGCACAGAGCCCTACACGTGGCCCAAACCCACAAACCATGAGATCATGACCGGAACTGAAATCAAGAGATGCATGCTTAACCATCTAAGCCACACAGGCATTCCTACAGCTGATTATCATTTAATGTCTCTTGATTTATAAGTAGAGATTTTCTGTTTATGTACAATTCTTCACTTTAGCATTTTCACAGGGAGATTTAAGCATGAATTTAAAATATCAACTCGTAGGAAAACAAATTTCTAATGTATATTTTGTAGCTCAATAATGTTCTTTTTTTTCATTGAAATTGTCTTTTCTCCTTGAAATTATTTTGAAGGTATTTCACCAGTGCATTGGGATGGAAACACTTTAGTCTAATTCTATGATATTCTAATCATTTAGCAAAATATTAAGACATCTTTAAAAGAACAATTAGATTGGATTGTGAAAATCAGGGTACCTTTTTTGTTGACTATGGGAAACAAAATAAGCTGATTTAATTATCTCCCAATACCAAAATTTCATTTTCTGAGAAAGAAGATGAAAGAAAAGCGAAATGTAAAATTTATATAATTTTCAATAGAATTGTAACTATAAATGCAAAGGTCTTTGTCAGAATTCTGGAGAAAAACATATGAAAATGGAAAATGGAAACCAATAGTAACGTAATAAAAATTCAAGGGGCCCCTGGGTGGCTCAGTCAGTTCAGCATCTGATTTCAGCTTAGGTCATGATCTCATGGTTCGTGAATTCAAGCCCTGAATCAGGCTTTGCGCTGTCAGCTGAGTACCTGGTTGGGATTCAATCTCTCTCTGTCCCTGTCCTGCTCATGTGCTCTCTCTCAAAAAGACTTAAAAAAACCCAAAACCTCAAAAACAATTTTTCAACTGGAACATAATACATGGATATTTTTATTCCATATTGTTTTGCAATGATTGTGCTACTTTTATAGTTAAAAATATTTTTACCAACCTATTTTGGAATGCAAATCCTAGGTTTACTATTTAGATAACAGAATAACTTAAAGTTTTTAGTGCTATTAATGTAGATGGATTTACTGGAAACACATTAGTCATGACTTCCTTTCCTTTATGTACATATTTTGTTCCTTTTGACATAGGACTATTATGATTGGCTTCAAACTCTTTTTTGATGGGATTGAGAATATACTATATGTGAATTCTGCTAACTTCAATTCTAACATACCTCTTGCTATTTTATTAAAATTTATATTTAGAGAGTCAATTCATAAACATACACTTGCAGTGATAACAGAACATTAGAAGTGTCAAATGTTTACATATTTTATAGGCTAGGTGACCTAAAAAAATAAAAATATTATATGTTACTTAATTAGGAATTCATTAGGATTTTTTTCCCCTGCAAATATCCCACCAGCTTTACCTGATTGTGCTTTTAAGTGCTGTGCAACATAAAATAAGATGCCGTCTGCAGAAAGAGGCTGAAACTGCAATTGAATATGTGTCTTTTTCCGAATATGGAAGGAAGCAAAAGACATCCAGGATAATTCATGGCTTCTGAAAGATGGATCACTTATATATAAAGCTAACAAAGCAAAAACATGAATTAAAAAACAACCAGTATTGCTCATAAATACAGTATACTTACATAATTTTGTCATTTAAGAACTTACCTATCTTCCAATAGTTGCTCCTTGCTAAATACATTGAACCATGATAAATCTGTTCTAATCCCACTAAATGTGGCTTTTTGGAATGGGGCCAATTATTGAAAAGCCTTCTATTCTGGTATCTATGCTCCTTTGGCTGGTACTGTGTGGCACAGATCCTCTGCTCTAGATTGATTATATTATAGAGAGGCATCAGATGCATAGATTAGGAGAATGTTTTATTATCTCAAAATATTGAGATTCTTGGGAATGTCTTACATCAAAAATACTTTCAAGAATTTTTTATTTTTTAAATTTAATTTTGGGAGACAAAGATAGAGCAAAAGTGGGGGAGGGGCAGAGAGAGAGGGAGACATAGAATCCGTAGCAGCTCCAGGCTCTGAGCTGTCAGCACAGAGCCTGACTCAGGGCTCGAACTCACAGACTGTGAGGATGACTCAAACTGAAGTCGGTGGCTTAACTGAGCCACCCAGATGCCCCGAAAATGCTTTCAAAAAGATTATTCCAATTGTGCAAGATAGAAGATACTACTATATGAATTATTCTTTTTTTTTTTTTAATGTTTTATTTATTTCTAGGAGAGAGAGAGAGAGACAGCGTGAGCAGGGGAGGGTCAGAGAGAGAGGGAGTCACAGACTGAAACAGGCTCCAGGCTCTGAGCTGGCAGTCAGCACAGAGCCCGACGCGGGGCCCGAACCCACGAACCGCGAGATCATGACCTAAGCGAAAGTCGGACGCTTAACCGACTAATTATTCTTTAGTTTTTAGACCTTATTTTTTTTTTATGGGTGAGTTTATTTTTATTTTTTAAAAACCGTTTGTCAAGTTGGTTTCCATATAACACCCAGTGCTCATCCTCACAGGTGCCCTCCCCCATGTCCTTCCCCTCTCCCCCACCCCCATCAGGCCTCAGTTTGTTCTCTCAGCATTCAAGAGTCTCTCATGGTTTGCCTCCCTCCCTCTCCCCAACTATTTTTCCCCTTCTCCGCCCCCATGGTCCTCCGTTAAGTTCCTCTTAATCCACCTATAGGTGCAAACATATGACATTTGTCCTTCTCTGCCTGACTTATTTCACTCAGCATAACACCCTCAAGGTCCATCCATGTTGCTACACATGGCCAGATTTCATTGTTTCTCATTGCCATGTAGTGGTCCATGGTATAGATAAACCACATCTTCTTGATCCATTTGTCCATTGATGGACACTTAGGCTCTTTCCATGTTTTGGCTATTGTGGAGAGTGCTGCTATGAACATTGGGGTCCATGTGCCCCTGTGCATCAGCACTCCTGTATCCCTTGGGTAAATTCCCAGCAGTGCTATTGCTGGGTCCTAGCGGAGTTCTCTTGCTAGTTTCCTGAGGAACCTCCACACTGTTTTCCAGAGGGGCTGTACCAGTTTACATGCCCACCAACAGTGTAGGAGGGTGCCCGTTTCTCCACATCCTCGCCAGCATCTAGAGTCTCCTGATGTGTTCATTTTAGCCACTCTGGGGATGTGTCACTTTAGCCTTTGGGGATGTGTCAAGTAAGAAATTGCTGTGGTTGAGGCCAAGGAGGTTGTTTTCTGCTTTCTCCTCTAGGGTCTTGATGGTTTCCTGTCTCACACTCAGGTCCTTTATCCATTTTGAGTTTATTTTTGTGTATGGTGTGAGAAAATGTAGAATGTAATCAAGTCAAGGTATGTTTAAAGTGACTATATAAATGGAAATAAGTATCAGTTTACTTGGCAATACTTTAGATCTGTATTTCTTCAGAAAGTACTAATCTTTGGGTTTCCTTTATGGTAAGTTGAAGTAAATTCATTTCAGTATGAATTGAAGTAGAATCATTATATAGATTTATAATATGTCAGATATTATAAATACTTGTTGCTTCTGTGTGTTTATGAGAGGAAGAAGGAAAAGTTCTGAATATTTGGCAGTATTTATCTCTCTGATATCTATAGATTCTTTGTGCCTCATTTTATAATGTGACAGTGCTTCTTAGCTGGTTCACCACATATATTTAATCATTGACCTAGTTATTTTGCCTAGTCTCCCTTTGGACTAGGCCTGTATTGGTGTCCTTCAGTTGATAGGTAACTGGTGGTGTTTATCCAAGAGGTGTTGGCATTTGCTGGTTTTTAAGCAATACACCATTCATTTTGACTTATTACAGTTCAGAATCTCCCAGTATGATTCCTAACAGTATAAAGTCCTATTCCTCACTCCTAGACCAGACCCTTAGTAAAGCTGAGATGGGTCTAGGAAGTAATTTTAATAAACACCCAGGTGTTTCTGGCATAGGTGTTACTTGGGCCATATTTTCATAAACACTGAATTAAGGTTTAAGAATACAAGGATAGTTTAAAAAGTGAGAGTCTTTTTTTTTTTTTTTTTTTTTTACAAATAGTTTATTGTCAAGTTGGTTTCCATATAACACCCAGTGCTCATCCCCACAAGTGCCCCCCTCCGTGCCCATCTTCCCCCCACATCCATCAGTCCTCAGTTTTTTCTCAGCATTCAAGAGTCAAAAAGTGAGATTCCTTTTGAAATCATTTAAACAGTATGAAAGGATGTAAAGTAAAAAGATGACATTCCACTGTTCTTTCTCTCTTAATTCCCATAAGCCACTGTTAACAGTTTACTGAATATGTAGCCAGACTTTATTTTCTGATGCACATACAATTAATGTGTGTGTATATCTAGCATCTGATTTATTTCACATAAAAGAAACCATATTATATACAAACTATGCATAAGGTACTTTTATCACTCAATAATTATCTTCATGAGACTCTGATATTAGCATATTTTGCTTATTGCTTCTTATACTATTATACTACATGCTATTGCACAGTATTTTTAAATATAAACTGTATCTTTAGGGAAATTTTAGGTTCATAGCAAAACTGAGCAGAAGGTATAGTTTCCATATACTACCCTCCTCCACATATATAACCTCACATATATAATCTCTTCACTGTCAACATCCTGCTGTTGGGTTGTACAGTTGTTAAAACTGATGGACCTACATTGACGTATCATTATCATCCAAAGTCCTTGCCTTACATTAAGGGTCGTTTTCGGTGCACATTCTGTGTATTTTGACAAATGTATAATGACACGTATCTACCATTATAGTTTCATACAGAGTAGTTTTACTGTTTTAAAAATCCTCTGGGGGCACCTGAGTGTCTAAGTCGGTTAAGAGTCCAACTCTTGATACAGGCTCAGGTCATGATCTTACAGGTCTTGAGATCAAGCTCCACTGTCAGTGCAGAGCCTGCTTGGAATTCTCTCTCCCTCCCTCTCTCTCTCTCTCTGCTTTTCCCCTGCTCTCTCTTGCACACACACTCTCTCTCATATAAACTTAAAAATAAATCCTCTGTGCTTTGCCCATTTTCCCCTCCTTAACCACTGGTAATCACCAATATTTTTACTGTCTCCATAGTTTTGCTTTTTCCAACATGTTCATATAGTTGAAATGTAGCCATAAACTATTTTTAGACTTGTGGGTATATAGGACATATTTTGTTCTCAGCAGAAACAGACAACCAGAAAAGTCAAGAGTAATCTCATTGCAGTGATTCCGATAACCTCTGACTTAATATCTTGCCAATAAACACATTCATGCCCCCAGATTCTCTGAATAGTATTTAAAGAACTTTAGAATATTTTCTCTGAGAGGAAGAAAAGAAACCAATATTAAGCCAATATAGGAGAACAGAATTACCAATTTAATCAAGTTACGGCATACTTTCTTTTTTAAAATTAGTTATTTTTAGGGGCGCCTGGGTGGCTTAGTCGGTTAAGCGTCCGACTTTCGCTTAGGTCATGATCTCGCGTTTCGTGGGTTCGAGCCCTGCATTGGGCTCTGTGCTGACTGCCAGCTCAGAGCCTGGAGCCTGTTTCAGAGTCTGTGACTCCCTCTCTCTCTGACCCTCCCCTGCTCACGCTGTCTCTCTCTCTCTCTCCTAGAAATAAATAAAATAAAAATAAAAATAAAATTAGTTATTTTTACCCTCTTGTTTGAAAGTAATTTTTAATTTATAGGAAATTGAAAAAATAAAACTACTACAACGAATATTATACCCATATTTATCTTTAGTTAATTTTCAAGCCCTTCATATAGCTCTATCTATCTATATTTTTTTTCTGAATCATTTAAGGGCATGTTCCATACATCATGGCTCTTCGCACCTAACAACCTAGAGATATTCTCTTTATATATAACCACCGTACAGTTATTACCTTTAATAAATGTAATGTTAATACTATACCTTTATCTAATATTCATATTTCAGTTTTTTTCAGTTGATACGAATATCCTTTATGCTATTTTCCTCTAAAGTATAAAATTGCATCTAAACTGAGATGTTGCATTGAGTTGTCTTTACATGTCTTTTAACCGACATTTCCACAGCCTTTCATTATTTTTATGACCTTGACAGTTTTGAAGAATATTTTCTTCTTCTGTTTGAAAAGAATGTTTAATATTTTGGATTTGACTGATATCTCTTCATAGTTAGATTCAGGTTATGCGTTCTTGGCTGAAATACTTCATAGATGATGATGGATTCCTCTTAGAGTATCTTGTATGGAGGGACATGATATCTCTGTCCCTTACTGGTGAGGTGAATGATTTTTTCCACTGTATAATATTCCATTGTATAATTGTGGCTTTATTTTTTCTTTCCTGCAATTCATATGCAGTCTGTGAGGAAATACTGTAAGACCATGCATATCTACCACTCATTTAAAAAAGTTGTTCTTTAAGGGGGCCTCAGTGGTTCAGTCAGTTAAGTGTCTGACTTCAGGTCATGATCTCGCTGCTTGTGGGTTCGAGCCCCTCATCGGGCTCTGTGCTCACAACTCAAAGTCTGGAGCCTGCTTCGGATTCTGTGCCTCTCTCTTCTCTCTGCCCCTCCCCTGT